GTTAAAAAATATAAATGTTGCCTGTTTCTGCCCATTTTATAATGCTGGTTTTTCCCCACCATTTTTTTTTTCCATTGATTTGGCTGATCTTCAAAGTTTCTCCCAAACTGACTAATTTAACCCTGCTATTTCTACCAACTAGCTTTCATGCCTTCCTACCTTCTAAAATTAGATTCCCCCATGAGACAATATTGCCCATTGAGCAAGAATAAAGGGAAAACAATATAAAAAGTTTATATATTCAATTTTTCATAACTATGCAAAATTAATGTGTTAGATTGGGCTTTCCCAAAAGCAGACTCCAAAACAGAATAAAATGCCCATGAGGAAAAAAATGGCCTATTTCATGTATGTTAACTTAAAATATTATATATAGGAGAGCTGGGGTATATGCACAAAACAAGCTTGGTACTGAGTGATGGGAGCAGGCAGTAGGTTGGGTAGAAGCATCCTAGACTGCTGTTGTCCTCCAAGAAAGGCTTCACAAGGCTGTGGGGGAGTCCTGAAACCAAAATGGGTCATTGGAGGAGTCTGTGTTTCCCAGACCTTGACCTTCCTGATGTTTTTGTTGTGCTCAGTCACTGACTAGGAAGCAAGGCCTCAGGGCACAATGGGGTGATGAATTTCAGAAGCAGGGCTTGGGGATCTTGGTCAATGACACCCCTTGTAGTAGGAAATCTACAAGGAATGCCACCCCCTCCCACCCCCCCTATTTTTTTCACCCCTGTAGTTCTTCCTGGAAGAACAAATTGATGCTTTCAGGCTCTAACATTTTGCTGAGATGTGAAGCTGCAAGCACTTCAAAGCATGCATGCACCCACAAAAGTAAAAGATAAGACATTTTGCAAAACAATGATGCACGCATAAGTTGGTTTCATGAGAAAAGCATTGAGATATACATACCCAATAGCACAAATACACACAGGTGCATGGGATATATGGGAAGCCAACTCTCTTTCTGTCCATGCTTCAAATATACCAAAACATGACCTAGGAAGCCTATACTTTTCTGAGTGGAAGAAAGAAAGGAAAATGCATTTATTAGGATTCTAGGTTTGTGCCAGTCACTGCAGCAGGTGGTTTCACGTATGTTAACTTAAAATATATAGTACTATTTATGTCCCTTTTTGAATATGCATAACAACCTTCTAGTAGGTGCTATTATTTCTGCTACAGATGAAGTAATAGGACTCAAAGAGGTCATAAATAAAAAGTTAGAAATAGGTAAATAAAATATTTGGAACTTGAGTGCATTCACAGTGGTCTCTGGTGGGCTTCCATAGCCATTAGATAGTCTTTCTTCATTCTTTTGGATTAAAAAAAAAAACCTGATAAATTAATGTCTGTTTTTTTGTTTTTTTCACATCTACAAAATGATAGAACTACAGTACTCTTCAAGCCTGCCAATAGGTAAGTAAGAGAAGAGCATTCTTGGGTGTTCTCTGATATACATTTTTTATTGCAAGAGAGTTCCCCACCTCCTCCAAAGCATCTTCAATCTTCTAACTTTTGCAACTGAGAGTATTTTATACCGTCTTTTTGGATCAACCCCATCCACTTTACAGTATGGTACCAATCCTCTCATCAAAGGGATATCTTAGGAGTCAAGGGGAGGATCTTAATATCAAATGAGCATCCTTACCCAACTCAGGTGTGGTGCCAATGTCTGTGGTCCTTTTCTGTATTCCAGATTCAGGAAGTGGTCCTTGCCTTAATCACCTGTTCATTCCTCCAGTCTTGCTGTGACTGCAAAGCTGTTTGAACTCCTTCCAGTCTTTCCGAGGGTTGGAGCTCTGTGCATGAGGGACAGTCGCAATGGCTGGGCCCTTGGTTTGACTTCTTGTCTTCAGACCTCTTATCATTTATACCCTATATTTCTGAGGCTTTCCTGCATGGCATATTCATCCTTTTGAATCTTCTGGAATTTAGATAATACATAGTCTTGCTACATTTCTCTATTAATCAAAGCTTTGTTATGCCACTTACTTCAGAGTCTCTATCTCTATGCAACAATGACTCCCATTAGCAAATAGACATTTTAACTTGTTCTCCCATAATTATGTTTGGCTTTTTAATACAGGATTTCCTGATATCCATCTTGTCCAAATGAAAACCCAGGAATAATTATAGATGCAATTTACTAAGCACTTTTCATACATTACCCCAGTTAACCAATGTAACAGATATTATCACCATCTGTGTTCAGGAAAATTGAGATGTGAAGAATAGAAAATTGAGATGTGAAGAATAGAAAATTGAGATGTGGAGCACATTTGGTGCCCTAAAAGAGACCTTGAAATAGATTAGGGATCGATACCTCTGAAAGGCAGGGGGAAGAGGAAGAAATCAAACCGTGATATAGGCCTAATGTAACCTTGGCTGACTCAATCAGGAGCTCTGGGTCAAGTATTACCCGTTCACATCCCATGTGAGGCTGAGATAGCCAGCCCTTTATATACTTTCCTAGCTCCATTGCTGGATGAAGGCTGTCAAGGGAAAGCATGACCTTGGACAAGGTGAGTCTTAATGGAATACACCCTAAAGAAGTTTACACCTGAAGCTGTCGGCTGACTGCATTCTCCAAAGCTAAGAGCCTTGAAGGGGGATCTGCGTGGTACATTTCTGTGACTACTGAGACTCCAAGAATCTGGGAAATCTATGAAGTAAAAGATTCTATAGCTAGTAAGTAACAAAGATTTGATATCAAGTCTTTTGTGACGCGAAAGTCTATGCACCTCACCAGTTCATAATTGGTTTCCAAATGTCTACTCAAACCAACTGAATCAGAATCACCTTAGGAGATTTCTATAAAATAGGGATATTTGGTCTTAATCCTGTGAGATTTATGTTCAATGGTTGTGGATGAGATCCTGGAATCAAACCCGGTTTGTAAAAGTGTCCAGGCTCATTCTAAAGTACAGTTCTATACAGAAACCACTGACAACAGAGAATGGGAAACATTTTAAATACTGGGCTATATTTATGGTGAAAGCTATACAATGTTTTGGGGGTGTTAAAAATTCAGATCCAGGATTCATCCCTATGGGCTAATGTCTAATGTCAGTGGCAAAATTTTAAAGACTGGCTTAAAATCTTGAACCAAAGATAGGCTTTCATTTGGACAAGATGGGTACCAGGAAGCCCTGCAGTAAGAAGCCAGGACGCTGCGTCTTGCTTTGTGATTGCTGGTCTCTGATCCCCTCGTGTAAAAGTATTGGAGAAAGTATAGCTATTTCACAATTCATGAGAGCAAGCGAGTCTGTAAGTGAACTAAAGAATATGCTTTCTAAGTAGTACCTGCCATGTCTGCAAACTGAATTTGAAGAGGCCAGATTCTATTTTCTCTTTTGTCTTTCACCATAAAATTGGAGATAGTTTTAAGCTGATGTTTAAATACAACACAATGACCTTTGAAACTATAGTAAATTCTTTAAATTTGCATATTTAAATAAACATATAATTTTATGATCAAGCAATACATAATTATAATAAGACAAGGGTCAAGATTGAAGATTAATTACTAGAGGAGATACAAATATAAAGCAAAATTGGCTTATTGCTTAGCCAACAAATTTCTGAGACAAGCTTCTTTGAACTCTTCTTTACTAAAATGAAACAAGAAGTCTGATTCTGAGAGAGGGCTCTGTCTTCAGTGGAGCTCTTGGGATTCTGGCTATGGAAGGATAAAGGACCAATCATGCTGACAAAAGTAACAAAATAGATATATTTTAAAAATACATATTGCAAAAGATATATATATATATTTTTTTTTTACAAATTCTACTTAATCAACACAGGCTTTTTTATGTGAAGAAAAACTCAAATAGTGAATCATGAATTTTTTGTCCCGAGATAAATAAAGTTTATATAACTTCTCTCCAGTTTGTGACAATATCCTGAGATCCCTGGTTTACTGTTCATGGCTTTTGACTCGTAGGCCATTTTTAAAGGGATAATGAGCCTTGCCTAGGCTGTCATAGACAGTTTGCACTCCACCTTGAGCATGGAGAGCTGTGTAAATGCTGCATGAATATTTGCTGGTTAAGTATTGGAAGCTCTAAGAAGTTATATATAATTGCTGGGTTATACTATGGTGGCTGAAATGCATGAATACCCAAGTTTCAACACTGAAGGTTCATATGAGAAAATTGCAGTATTGGTTACTGAGCTCTTTAAAATCAGGAATTCTGACTCATTGATCTTTGTGCCTCCAACCTGAGCACAATGGTTTATTTGGATCAGTAAGTACATGAAAACTGTTTTGTTTTTAACCTTATGCACTTAAAACCATTAAAATTTGGCCTTGGAAGAAAATCGCCAGCCTCTGAGAGAAAGACTCACAAAACCACCTTCTGTCAATGACCAGAGATGTCACAAATCTAGATTTCTCACTGGAATCTCAAGTGGGTGAATTTAATTAACTGCTATAATTAGAAGCGAATTATTAGAAGTGGCCTTGGAGCGAACAGTCCCACATCGACTCCGAGCTATCTCTGATCTTGAACATTTCCATTTATTTCCTTATTGTTTCAATTCTATTTAATCCAGACAATAACCACATGAAGAATGTTGAAAATGAAAGTTTCCTTTAATTGGTATTCAAGATGTCATTTATTATTTGGAGAGAACATGTAGCTAATATAACGATGATCTTGTTCCATTGATATTTATCTACAGATTAAAGGCAGTTGCCCTTCCCTCACCTGTTGAGGAAGTGCTTCCTGCCACTCATTTTCTCCATAACCTCAAGTAAACCTCCATTGGTTTAATGACAATAAGCATTCTTATTTTACCATGACATGATGTTTGGGAAGAAAAATCTAAAATCTTTTACATAAAACAAGTTTCATAATCACACGCTATGAAAAGGGGGAAAACAGACACTTATCCCAGGTACTTTTTACCATGAATTTCTTGACCTTGGTTTCATTAAAGTCTCAACCTAAACATTGCAACAATATAGATTTCTTTAGAGTTGGTTCATTTCATTGAAATTTTATTGAGAAAAACTTCAATGTGGGGCACAAAGGGTGGTATCTGGAAGGAGAAGTTAGGGACTGAGCTGCTTTGCAGATCAGAGCATTTGAAAGTGAACACCCAGTGTGACAAGAAGCAAAAACCACAGGATACCACGTACTCTTTCTGTTCATTTTGCTTCTCAAACTACTCAGGCTCTTCCTAGTGTCTGTACCTACATCCTCTCTCTCTATGTCACAGATGTTTCTGGGGTAGTGAACCTGACCCAACCCTGAAGAGCTCAGGGGAAGAAGGGAAGCCTTCTTCTTGAGAAGATTTTGCTCCCGATGGGCACAGGAAATGAAGATGTTGCCTGCCATGCTTGGAATTGGGAGATTGCTTTGGATCCTCTTCTTAATCGCAACTCTGGGCATCTGGAGTATCCACGGTAAAACACCTACTTTGATTATTTTTTTCCCTCAGGGGCGTGCTGGAGGTAATGTTTTTTTGTTGCTATTCTTACTAGGATGTGGCATTTATGTGGAAGACACTGGTAGTTAAAACGAAGTAGTTAGATTTGCTTACTGAAGACATTTTAGGACCATGGTTGGCAAACTGTGGCTCGCGAGCCACATGCGGCTCTTTGGCCCCTTGAGTGTGGCTCTTCCACAAAATACCATGGCCTGGGCAAATCTATTTTGAAAAAGTGGTGTTAGGAGAAGTTTAAATTTAAAAAATTTGGCTCTCAAAAGAAATTTCAATCGTTGTAGTGTTGATATTTGGCTCTGTTGACTGATGAGTTTGCCGACCACTATTCTAGGACATTAACCACATTAGAACATGGTATTCAAGTCACTTTGGCTGATTCTCTTAAAAATATGTTCTAATAGTAAGAAAAGGAATTGGGTAGATGTTATAAATAGTTAGGGACAAATTTGGCACTACTACTACCAAAATGGCTCTGAATGTCATACCGATGCCATACTGATGGTGAATGGCTTGTTCGTTCCAAACCAAAGTGCTATATTACTTGGTTGGGTAAGAAAGGTATCAGATACCTCACTCCATGGCTATTCTGGAATAATGTTGCTAAATAAAATCATACTACTTACTTCCTTGGAGTGTGTGCCTGGAGAACACTGATTGAGAAAATGCTGAGAAAGATAGGATTGGAGCAATCTGTCATTGCGTCTAAGAAAATGGTTCTGATTCGGTGTCATTTGACATAGAAAACAGCTTGGGTTCTGCATAAACGATGTTCAGCCACTTTTGCAAAGATTTTATGTGAGTTCACTTTCTCGCTAACTTTGACATATTGTAAAGGGGCAAGGGTTATAAATAGCTAGTAGCGGTTTTAGGTTTTTCTCAGGTCTGGTTTCAAATATCCTACTTTATAATACCCACAAACACATATACTCTTTCCAGTTTTAAATCTGAAAATATGGCCCCTGAAAACCTATAAAATGGCATCTACAACTCTAGAACAGGGTGATTTGGAATTTGTCTCCAGGAGCAAAATAAAACTTCCCTTTAGTCATCTAAGTATTTTCATGATTGCATATTTTTATGTGTGTGTATTTGGCATTATGTTGTCAGGGGGGTTTAGTTGGATGACTGGATTTTTCACTTTCCCTAAGATGCTATCAATCACATAGCTACAACTGGAGTCAATTATCATAAATATTATTAAAAAATAATTTATACCAATTTGAAGAATATATAAACAATTCCTGTAAAATTAAATAAAAAAGTTTAGTGCTGTATTAGACTGGGATTGGGCTACAACTTCTCTTCCCCCTCCCAACATGCTTACAAAAAAGAACTTGAGTGTTAGAATGGGATTAATTTACTGGCTTTACCACTTACTGTGTGCCTTTGGTTAAGTTTCTTATCCTTTCTTATCTTTAGTTTCCTACTTTAAAAAATAGAGATAATAATTGTACCTAAAGTATGGGCCTATTTTGGACACAACCTGTGCAGTAATATGGATAAAGTAACTGGCACAACAAGTGCACACAATAGAAGCTTGTTAAATATTAATGGCATTTTTCGCTAATATTATTTTCACAAGCAACTCCCACAAAATTCAATTAAATGGGCAGCAAGTTTTAACATTATTATTTAAAATAGTTAAGTTTTTAAAGCTGAAATAGAATGAATATATTTGGCCCACATCATGAACCAAATTCTTTGGAAAATGAAAAGAAAAGCCTTGTATAAAGTCCTGGCCAGGTATCTTACATAACGGTCGATGTTATGTAAGATACATAAATCATTTTTTGCACAAATTAAAACACAGGTTGAGATAAGGGAATGTTTGGCGAGATTTGTTCTCTCAGACAGAGCTCATGACTATTTCTTAAAAATCACACAACCTTTATATCTTGGAGATTTCCTATGATTTAGCTAATCATGGAATTCTTTACACTGGCACAGTTTCAAAGCGTTTAAAATAATTTAAAGGATATTTTTCATCCTCTACTTCAATACAATGTGAGATGGTTGTGCCTCTTCCCAGGAATCAGGCTGCACTGAGAATAAGGTTGTGAAAAATGTAACATTCACTACAAAACTCCTTCTCTGTAATGAAACCATGCTTGCTTAAGTGTTCCTCAAAAATACATCAGGAGGGCAGTCTCCTTTCGGTCCTGCCTATATCCTCTTTAGCCTGTGCTGTGATTCTTTGGTATGAATCATGGATCCACACTCCACATCCCACCCACAAAGATGGTGTTGCTTCACTGTGAACTGGCCATATTGTTAGGTCAGAGCAGAATCATTAGGGCAGAAAGTGCTCTACATGTGTTTCTCATTCCTTGAAGTTTCGGGGTCTTTATCAGGCTTATTTCTAAGACTATCTATTTGTTCCTATTGAAATAGGCACAGGAGGTGGAGCTCTGCCTTCTGCCAAATGCCTGTGTATTGTTATTATATGAATGCCTGCCACTTAATATGACTACCTTGGACGTAAATGTCTAGGAATACTTTCTGTAGCTGCAGGATTTCCTGAATTAAGGAATAAATAGGTTAACCCCTATGCTAATTACAGCCTTGAAGAGACCTTCCAAACGCTGAAAAGCACTTTAATTAACTGTTGCTTCCTCTCTCCCACTATCAAAATTTCCGCTATTGTAAGGTTGAAGTTAAGTGCTGTTTATCTTGCTTCACTGGGAATCTCCTACTTATTGTCTATTATTTGTGAATTTCACCTTTCCTGAGAGTTCAGAGTTGTTGAAGGAAAATGTTCACAGGTATCTGTAATCAGGGCTAAAACTGAAATCAATTTTTGCTTTGTTCTTTGGAGAGGCAGTGGTGGGACTCTAGAGCTAGGTCTGGATTTCTATCCCATCTCTGCCATTCACTGGTTCTGTGACTATAATCTCTCTGATTCTCTTTCCTCATTTAAACAATGGAGACAATGATGACATTAACCTATTTGGGTTGATAAAGTCATCTATAAGTAACTGTTGATATCATTACCTGCTATCATCCCCAGTCACCAAGAAATGATAATAGAATTTGGGAGTCAAAAGATTTGCATTATATTCTGTCACCACATTGTATCATAACCAATTTGCTTCACTTTTATAATATTCTTCATTCTCTTACCTTAAAATAAGCTCAGTATTATCCACCTTTATGATATCCTCTCATGGATTCTTACTTCCGAGTTTAATCCCATAGAGGAAATTACATGCATGTTTCTGTGTTACAAACAAGATATCATTTTAGTTTGCTCAGAATGTAAATATGTACATTTTGAGGTTTGCTTTAAACACAGGGCAGGAGAGTGTTAGAGGGACCATCTTGGCCAATAGTAGGGAAACATCAGGTTTAGCTAATAGAGCTCTATAACTCCTCTCCTCCTTCCTGATAGCCACACTTATTTTATGAGTACAACCTGGAATTTGAATATTTCACAAACAGTCCATTGCCCAGAAATGGCTATAAGGAAGTTTGGGCCATTTAGGTTCTAGCTGGAGGGTCATGGGTCCATTTCACTTACTTCTCTGATATTAGAAGAGGAGAATTAATATTTTGGGGGGGAGGGAAGGGACAATTGGCAGTTTCTGCCTGCATAGATATTCTTAATGGGCTTTGAAAATGCCAGTGAATCTCAGTGTAGCAGAATGCATTAGGAAGCCCAGGAAGTATCTGAGAAAGAAGTGAAAAGGAACTTTCCCTGTGTCTTTCTGATAACACATAAACCTAAACTTATTCTGACCACCACACTAACCTTTCTATCACTGAAGACAATATTTAAAAATACTCATGTTGGTTTCTTTTTTTTTTTTTTTTTTACTAAAATTTCGGGGTGATGTTGAATAATAAGATCACATAGGTTTTATGTATGCATCTCTATAATACATGATCTGTATATCACATTGTGTGCCCACCTCCCAAAGTCAAATCACCTTCTGTGACCGTATATTTGGCCCCCTTTACCTATACTAGCCCCATCTGCCTTCCCTCTGGTAACCCCCATACTGTTGCCTGTGTCAAAGAGTTTCCGTTTTATATCCCACATTTAAGTGAAATTATATGGTTCTTAGATTTTTCTGACTCACTTATTTGGTTAGTATAATAATCTCTAAGTTCATCTTTTCTATGCCTGAGTAGTATTGCATACTACTTTATCCAATCCTCTATTGAAACACACTTTGATTGTCTCCATATCTAGGCCACTGTGAATAATGCTGCAAGAACATAGGGGCGCATATAGTTTTCAAATAAATGTTTTGAAGTTTTTTTGAGGGTAGATACTGAGGAGTGGGATTGCTTGGTTATATTACAACTCTATTCTTAATTTTTTAAAAGAATTGCCATACTGTTTTTCATAGTGACTGTACTAATCTACATTCCCAGCAAATGAGTTTTTCTTTTACTACAAAATCTCTCCAACACTTGTTATTACGTTCCTTGATGATAATAGCCATTCTATCAGATGTGAGGTGGTATCTCATTGTAGGTTTGATTTGCATTTCCCTAATCGCTAGTGAGAGTGAACATTTTTTATTCTCATATATCTGTTGGTCATTTGTATGTCTTCTTTGGGGAAGAATCTGTTCAGGTTGTCCATTTTTAAGTTGGATTGTTTGTTTGGTGCTTAGTTGTATTTTTTTTTTTAATATATTTTGGATATTAACCCCTTGTCGCAACTGTCATTTGTAAATATTATCTCTCATTTGGTTGGATGCCTTTTTGTTTTGTTTTTTGTTTTTGTGGTGCAAAGCCTTTTAGTTTGATATTTTCCCAACCATTTATTTTATTTTTTTTCTTTACTTCCCTAGCTTTTGGGGTCAAATTCATAAAATTCCATGACCAAGGACCATAAGTTTAGTACCTAATGTTATCTTTTATGTAATTTATTATTTCTGATAAAATGCTGAAGACTTTCTTTGATGCTGCCCTTTCCGGCTTCTAAGATATCCTCTTAACTTTTTCTGC